AACAATAGTAATAATAATGATAATAATAATAATATAAAAGTGTATCCCATTAAGAAACACACAATGAGTTGTGAACAGTCATTATCAGTAGACAGTACACGATAAAAAGTGTACATTACAAAAAAAGAAAATAAATGATAGAATTCATTATCTTTAAAGATGTGTTTTTTGTGTGAAATAAAGAGGAACTAAAGGCTCACGCTCTATTGTATCACATCTACAGATTGCTAAGTAACATTTTGAAACAATTAAGACTCGAAAGTTCATATTATAAGTCTTGGAGATGAAGTATAAAATTATACCCTCTATCATCATTCCCACAGATCCCTAAGCAATTTTGGACACAACCAAGACTCAGAAGTTCAAATGGGTTTTAAAGATGAACTAATAACATTCTCTATAACTATTACATCAACAGATTTCTAAGAAACTTCCTGCAGCGACCAAGACTCGAAAATGAGTACGCAGTCAACTGTAACCGAAAAACGCACCATCATCACCTCCAGCTCCGGAGGCAGCAGTAGCTCCGCCTTGCAACAAGATGGCGGCGGCGACGACTTCTACTACAAGTCTAGCATCCACCCCCGCAACAACCAAGTTGGGCACTCATCCTCTCTTTCTGGGGTGATCGGAAGCGGCAGCGGTGGAGGAAGCTACAAGAGGACCGTTGAAATTTCCTCAGGTACGTCAAATCGGTTTGATGGAGACGGATGGGTGATTAAATTTTTAAAACATAAATTATAAATGTTTCAATACCATTTTTCTTGCAGTTTGTTTTAAAATGTAATGTACATTTTTGAGCGCATACGGCCCGCTGTTTTGGGTGGTTGTGTGCGCTAATTTATTTACTTATTAATGTATCCTTATTCTAGGTCAAAATAGTCATTGTGCTATTGCAGTTCTCATTAGTACAAGTGCTTTCCTTTGATGTGACAAACAAACAAACCAAATGCCCATGTTAACAAAAATGCCGCTAAAAAATGACTAACGTTTTAAACACCCGAAATGTGGAAAAAATGATGACACTGCAAAACAGTTGAGTATCACAGTTTTGCTTTTGCAGCTGCCCTGCCCTCGGTAAGAACAGGTGTGCTTGAGTACGAAATTCCAAGACAAAGCTTTCACCTTAAATTACCTTCTACTTCAGAGCAAATTGCGAAAGCCCGTACGAGGTATCCTTTTTCGCACATCCGCGCTAATCCTGGATCGACGTCGGCACGGGAATCTCCGAAAAGGTCACGTGCTTTGGGTTTCCCCTATATAGACTAAGGCGGCCCCCAAGTGGAGACAATTGGGGCCAGGCACTCCGTAAGGGCGAGGCGGGTTGTTTGCTGCGCATGCCAAGGGTAGAGCCCATGAGTCGAGCAGTTGTTCCTTTCAAGTTCATTTGGTACCCCACGAAGTGGTACTTCTACCAGCAGGGAGTCAGATAAAGTCGTTTGGACTCTGAAGAATTTTGCACTTCTTCGGAAACATGATTTCAATAGGTTAGAAAAAAAAGAATGTGTCTCTACTTCTGCCAAAAGAAAATTTGTTTACCTCTGACTGCAGACGGTCAACAGCACCGATAGCTGAGTCAGCATTATGATAATATGCGGTGCAGGAGACTCGGGTCATAGTCTCATAGCGGCGGAAAATAAATCTAAATTTGGGTTCCTTAGTGGGGAGTTTTCTTTAAGCACTTGGCTAGGACCTATCGGGGATTGACGTTTAATTTGGAACTCCCACTTCTTGAATGACGTCACAGTACAAAGCGGGATGAACAGAAATTTGGGGTGGGTGAAGGCATACCAATCTGCCTATCACTTCTACTGATAGTCACAAGAAAAGCACCTCTGACTTAATACCCAAGCAACAAACTCAATTAATTCCTTCCCTTTGTCTTAAAGACACCTTCCTCTCTTTTTCGTTGAGCTCAAGGACTTTCCCTTAACATGAACTGCGGGGTCCTAATCAGAGCAGGGCTCGAACCAGATACCAAATTTTTAGTTTAATATTTACTTTAAAATAACAACCGTGAACTGATGAGAGACCAAGTGCTTGCCGTACATTTAGACCGACATGCCGTTAGATGTCAAGAGCAAGAACATCATACTGCTAGTAGTCGCATTATTTTGGATTATCTGGTTCATACTCTTAGAAAGCAAATCAACACTCAAAGAATAGATCGTTTTTATTCCATTGACTTACAATACAAATTAGATCAATACTGTCTAAAACAAAATCCAAATTTTCTGATATTCTACTCTTCCACACTGATATTATGTGGACATAAGAGAATGTTCCAAAGTTAACTCTTTAAGTTTCAAAGAGCAAGGTCTCATATATTCCTGTTTTTAAAAATACGGAATGTACACAAGCCTACAAAATAAAAAAGACCATGGAAATCGTATGATCGTAAACAAAAAACAAACTAAAAAAAAGACTTGTAATAAGCTCTGCTTATAGAGACTACAATATCGGAGGAGTAGAGAAATTTTAACGAATAATATAACTGTGTCTCTCAGCAAAGCTATTCAAAATCCGTTTTGATCAACAATTTTTGTTCTTACTATGAAATATGATAAAACAAGTACTCCTGTGTCTGAAGAAAAATCGCACTGTTCAAGTTGGCACTTACAAGCAGGATAAAAGTACCCAACACCATGGACAATATAATATGGCTTAGGGTTGGTGGAACGAGGTGATTAAAATCTTGAGAGAAGGCTTTTGGTTGTTGTTGTTTTTGTTGTTAACTCAGTCTCGTCTTGTTCATAATGTATCTGATTAGTTTTCTGTTCTTCCAGACCTGTTGTTCCATTCCAGTTGTATGACATCTACTCTATTCTATGCTGGTCCGTCAGATCTGTGCAATGATGTAAAATGTATATACCTGTACTCTAACATTTGGTCTTCTGTTGTCCTTAGGCATGTTGCCCTCTGGCTTCGGCAATGTCTCCCACACTGGCGTCACCAGCGTCAAGTCCACCCGCGAGAGAGAGAAGAAGGACATGCAGGACCTCAACGAGCGTTTCGCCAACTACATCGAGAAGGTTCGATTCCTCGAGGCCCAGAACCGCAAGCTCAGCTCTGAGTTGGAACAGCTGAAGGTGAGAAAATTATGTCTTTTCCTCCCC